TAATGAATTTTTGTCGGTAGCGTTTTCTCATTAATAGTTTCGTCGGTTTTTAAGAAGAACGTAACAAGCCACATTAACCATTTTTAAATCGTGTCACTTCTGGCATGTTTGATCAATAGAGCATGTTCATCATAAACTTCAATCTAAATGCGATGAGTTCCGGTTGAGGTTTTCTTCATATTAAAGTAATAGAGAAGAGCTTCCCGTCGGGATCTTAAATTGAAAGTGTACGAAATGCAGCCTGTTGATTTATTGAGAGAACACTTCAGTGAGCAAATAATTTCATGTTTTAGTCGATTAGCCACCAAGATCGTGTCATATCACACCGTTAGACTTTTCCGCAAAAAACGGATTTTTTTTCCTCCTTTGATTTTGGAATTGGAGCAAAACATCAAGTTCCTTCTAATGGTAATAAACATTTCTCAGTAAATATAAAGTTTCTGTATTTTTTCTTTAAAAAAGTAGGGGGCCTAGAAATGGATCACCCTTTACAACGTGAAACGGTTTTATAGAATCTTTGCTAATAAACTATTACTCAAAAGAATTGTTTAGTACCGAATTTCAGAGTTAACAGGTGCTGCTTAATGACTCAAGAGCCAATTATTGTTAGTGGTAATTATTGTTAGTGCTGAAAAGTATGCGAAATTTAATGCAGACTTCTATGCATTCAGGAACTAACGTACGGACGGCGCGAAAGAGTCCATTAGCGACCATTAGAAGCCAACAAATTGAAGAAACTTTAAGGCTGCAAATACAACAGTAACTTTGCATATTAAATAACAGCGGATTTAGATATTATGTAAGTGAATATTTTATGTTGCAATAACAAAACCAACAACATTGATTTTAAAGTACTTCATCTTATAACTGTTGGCTGTTGCAGACGGAGCCTTCCTTGTGGATCTCTAATTGATTTCAACTTAAGTGCCAGTCAAAAAGGAGTAGGAGGTTCGGTTCATTAGCAGGCGGCAGAATTACTTGGGCAGCTGTAGGTGAGGCAAGCGTTGGGGCACTAATTGCAAGGGGCACAGGTGCGCATACATAAATAAGAGCAATTGATTTTCCACTGTCCATAAATATTAAATAATCTGCATGGCAATTACTTTTACGGAAACTCCGAATATACATTTTTTGTGTGCATTCACTGCTACAACAACAATTACAACAATAATTAATGTGAAAAAGTTAATATTTATAGCAATGAGGAGGCATGAGGCAGAATTTATTATAATAAACTTCTTAAGCAAAAAGGCGGCACGCGCATGTGTGTGTGTGTGTGTTTAATCTATTTTATTTACGTTTTTAGCCTTGCAACAGAGTGCACGTTGCTGTGCTCTCCGCAATTCCAACTAATTTCCACACAAATTTCAGCGATTATCTTAGCCACTTTGTATGCTTTGTGTATGTGCCACAACACAAGTTGCAACATCAGCAACGGCAGCAGACAGCAGCACGCTCGATCTCACTATCTGTAAACGCTGCGTTTTGTTTCGGGTTTGTGTACGTGCAACACGAAGGACATCGCATGCAGCCGGCAATTTACACACACACACACACACGTGTGCATGTGTGGTTGTGCATAATTGTAGCTACTTTTGTTTATGCTCGAATAGCTGAGAGCAATATGTGAGCTGCATGCCTTGTGTGCGAGTGTATGTGTGTGTGTTTTTATTATAGAGGGGGTGAAGGCGGTGGGCTCCGCCGCCTGTTGTGGGACTTATCAGCTGCTGCACCAACTTTCACTTGCAGCAACATCAACAGTAAATGTAACCGCAGCAACAAAAGCAACGGCGACATGCAGCACGACGCTTAGCTAGTTGCTTGCCCCAAATAGAACTCGTCTCTTTATGCCTTGCCACAACATTTATGTGTCGTTTGTGGCAAAAGACAAGTGGGTGTGCATGTAATTCTATCTAGCATAAAAGCTCTAGCCATGCTTCTCCATGCAGTAGTATGTACATGTGTGTATGTGTGTGTGTGTGTATGTGTCTGTTCCGTAGATTGGTTAGAAAGTGTGTCGCTCGTTGTTGGCTGCTTTGTGGCACATTGCAATGTAAATTAAAAATATAATCGTCTCATAGTTTGTCATGACGTTTGCCAACGGCAGTTATAGCCAAAAACAAAAGCAAATGACACTGACAGTTGCATGCATGCACACAACACCGGAATAGAAATATAAAAAAGGCAATAACAATAATAGTAGCTGCAATGACATTTGCCGTTACGCCGCTAACCACCAAACGTTTTCGTTTATGCTTCCATTTTGGCGCCCGAAAACCCCAGCCGAGTCCCTGGTCCGCTCTGGCGCCTGCACCTAAATGGGCCAGGTCCCAGCTTGGGCTGCCGTTGCTTTTGCTGGCATTGGCACGCTGTGCTTGCTTGCGGTTGAGCTCCGCTGTCAGCAGCATGCTTGCCACGCCGGCTTTTACTCTTCATTTTCATTTTCCTTTTGCTGCCGTGTGGCACTGGCTGGCTTATCTAAATGCGACCGGTACACATGCACGATAATTCAGCCGCAATTCACCTCTTCCTCGGCTGCATAAATGCTGGTGCAAACACTAACGTGTCGCCCAGTGGCAGACACAGACACAGGCATACAAATACAATATGTAAATGAATGCTGGTTTAGTTGCCCTCCTTTTTGCTGGCAGCCAACAGCTGATGAAGTTGAAAAGGTAATGCGTCGGCAGCAGTGAAAGAAGCTTTTCATCTGCTCAGCATTTGTACGCTTCCCTTGGGTGTGTTTTCTAAGAGAACGTGTACGGTGGGATGAAGTAGACGAAACCTGGAAAATATTTAACTCGTCCGCTTATCTATGTTGTTGTAGTTGTCTTCTATTCGCCATTTCTTGCTAAAAAAATCACATGTAAAAGCTACAATAAAGTTATAGAGTCGTTAAAGTGGTTTTTTTTCTACGATTTAAAATCAATTCTAAAGAACAAAGAGTTATGTGACTTCCAAAACGATTTTCCTCACGAAAGAAAAAAATTTCCTTACTAAGAAATGCGCTTAGCCCTACGTAGCAAAAGCGTTGTAGAACCGATTAGGAATTGCCTCAACGTCATGTCCAATAACAGATTATCGCAAACGATTATAGATAATCAAACTGCTCCAATAAGAACCACGAAGAATGCCGCAAGGAAGAGTTGTATTACCTGTTCTATGAATCCTAGTAATAGATCATCTGACAGATGACATTGTAAAAGCAGCAGGAAAACTCGGGAACGCTCACATTAACTAAGAAATTATGTTCTGATGCAGATAAAGATCTGATGATTGACGTTACGAGTGCGGATAATTTATGTCCATTTGCGCTGTATGAGATATACGACGGCATGGATATAGTTAGCGAAAAGACAGCGGCTAAGCTGGCGAGGTCATGTCGTCCGAATGCAAGAAAACACTCCTTTGAAAGTATCCGCCAGAGGAAGCAGATGAAGAGGAAGACCTCCACTTCATTGGAAGATGTACGAAAAAGCAACAGCGAAACATAGACCTTACTTGAAACGAAGTTTCTGGGGCAAACTTTTGACGGCAGAGTGACATGGAAAAGGCAAATGGAACATGTGGTTAGTAAAGAAAGAAGATCTTTGATGAAATGCAGAAGATTAGCAAGAAAGAAATGAGCATGTAACACATTAATAGTGAAATTACATATGGAGCAAGTGCATGGGCTTGTATAACAGAAGGCATGGAAACATGCCCCACATAGGCACCAGAAGTTTTACATGACTTTACAGCTCTTCAAGTTTTGTTCTAGAACTTTCGTAAAAGAAAACTCGATTAACAATGATGAAAGGTAGGACAGGGAAGGAAAGATCATGCCACCCAAAAAAGCAACAGAAATAAGGCGGAGGATAACAAATCTTGATTTCACACTCAACATAGTTTTATGTAAACAAATATATTGGAATCAATCTCAGATAAAGAAATAAATAATACGATACTTATTACATTTCGTAAATCAGAGTTTCTTTTCTTGATATTATTTTACGTAATTTTCTCTCACAAAGTAATCGTTTTCCTCGTACCCTCTCTGTTCATTTTTCTCATGTTTTTTGCCCCACTATGCAACGGCCGCCTTGCTACTTTGCCACCAGTTCGCTTTGCAATGCCGTGGCGAGTGGGGGTGGGGGTGCGGGTTGGCATGTGCCAAAGATAATGTTCATATTTATTAATGCCTTTTACAGTTCGCACACCCTCCACATAAGTGCTTGGATACTTGAATGCTCGGTTGCTTATCAAAGCGACGGCATACACAAGTTTATTTTTTATCTCAAAAGATGATGTCGTTTGAGTTTGGTTTTACAATTTCGTGCCATTTAAGGAGCACGCCGATAGGAGGGGGCGGGGGCAAAGTTGTTTGCCACAACTGCCGCCTATTTTGCATTTTCGAACGCGTTTCATTTGGGATTCACTTGAAAGTTCAATTGCTTGCGGTTGTCGTATTATGATCGCATGTTGTGCCCTTTGTTCGTGTTATTGTTGTTGTTGCAATTGTGTTGCATAGCAAATAAGCGAAATAAAAAATGACAAAGTAATGACGATATTCGAATTCGTCACTGCCGAATAATTGTTGTTTTTATTACCGGCAGTGGCGCTGTTGTTGGTGCTAATGTTGTAATTGTTGTCATGATGTGAACACGTGTTGGTGACATAAAACGACGAAATTCGCTCAAAGCTGTTAAGCGTTTTTCGTGCTACGAGTGGCGTTTCGAAGGATTTGCCGCTAATAAGAAATTACCGAAATCGAGGTCGAAGGGGGTGTCCCGGGCTACAAAAATAAATTGGCTGTGGGGTTGCTGGGGCGCATAAGAGCATAACAACATGAGATGGGCTCAAGAAAACATTTTCAAATTAAAACTAGAATTTGCTGCCGCGACACACTTACCTCGATATTGTTGTTGTAATGGAAAATTATGCATTATGTGTGTGTGTGTTTGTGTTTGTGTGGGTGCGTGTTCATATTGATATGGATATTATAGTTTCTAAGCACATACCTGTGTTAGCTGCGACGAGGCGTAATAGGATATTCTCGAGGGACAGATCGACTCTGGTTTGGAGTAAATTGTATCGCCGATTTGATCGCCGCCCACGGGCAGTAGAGCGGTAGCGTAGGGTGAGGGTGTCGGCGTGGAACTGCGAAATCCTGCAACGAGTGGCAAAACAAAATTCTGAGTACATTCTTTATATGTCTTAGTTATGTGCATTTATGATTTGCTGGCACATGGCAAACGACCCGATTTCCTACGTGATATGTGGCGCGAGCGAAATCGATATTTTAAAGTTGAGAATTTATTACACAGTTGGAGGAGTGCCAAGTTCTAGTGGCTTGAACTGTGACACAGTTTTGCTAAAATATATACCGATATTCTGAATTGTGGTAAAAAGGCATTTGAGCATCCATTCGGCTAGCTTGAAATATGAATTTTTAGTTTTCCATCACAAATACTAAGATGTTGCCTACATTTCGGCGCAATTGCAAAGGACAAATAAGCAAGACCGATGTGGATGCTAAGAGATTAAATTTTGGCAAAAAAGGATATTTTAATATATTTTAATGAGAAATTACTACGTTCGATGGACGAAGGTGCTCACAAGTGAAGAGAAGATAGTTGAAAATGTAAGCCAAGTAGTTTAAGATGCTTGTGGCTTGTGTTTCGCCGATTCCATTCCGAAATATTTGATCTCAAAGTGCGACCAATGTGTAAGAACTGTTTCACTGTTTCAACTACTCAGGAAATAAATATGTATATATCCACTACAGTCGAGTCCAAGTAACCGAAACGTACCCGGAGTTTGATTTGTCCAAGGACTGTCAATCCGCAACCATGCTTCGAAATTACTGCAGGAATGCTTTCTGTCGCTATAAGAACAAAAACACCTATTTCGATTACTCAGGAGTTAAATATGGCACGAAAAACATTTGGTACCATATATATTGGTTACCATATAACCAGATATCGATACATTGGTACCACATGAAAAAAATGATCCATTTCTGAAGCGGATTGTTACTCTTTATGAAAAATGGGTCAGTTATGACAAAGTCAAGCGAAAACGCTCGTGATCGAATAGTTGTGAGACGGTGTAAACGGTTGCCAAGACAGAATTAACTATCAGGAGGGTAGTGTCATATCTTTGGGATAGCAATTGGACGACGCTAAGTCAGTAATCAGCCAGAAGTGACCAGCTTTTGTCATTTACATACATCGAAAGAGTCTCGTTAGAAGCTATGTCAGCTTCGTTGGGATAAACTTTTCAATACACCTGATAACTTGAACGTGACGTCAAGCAATTACTTTCTGTTTCTGTTTATGGTGAATTGTTTTTTGGTGAAAAAGTCGAATATTTCTACTTGTCTTTGATTAAGCTTTAAGACACAAAATATACTTATCCCCTAGGGGACGCTAAAAGCCAATTAGATCTAATTTTCGGATTTAGTTTCCGAGTATGTTAATGTTTAGGATCATATTATATTATACTTACTGTCAAATATGTTGCAAGACTTCTTCGACTCCGATGGGTACTTATTCAGGCTAGCGATAGTCGCATAGGAACCACTGTTCGCGCTGGGTGGACGCCCCAACGGATCTAGGCGTATGAAAACGTTTTGATGGCTGCCATAAGCGGCAGTAGTAAAGCTGGTACTACAACAACAACAATGGCGAATAGAAATAGTAAAAAGAAAAAAATTGCGATTAATTTCATATGAAAAATGCATTTGCGCGCTTATCAAATGCGCGCAACGCTCCCCCTCCGACCCCGGATACTTACTGCAACGAGTCCTGGCGTATCTGCTTGCGTGCGCGCACATACATGGCTGACGCAATCAAGCCGACGACCAACACCAAACCGAGCGCACAAGCCGCAGCACCCAACAGCGCGTGACCCGGCGACGGCGCTTGGGCGGGTGCCGCTGATTGATTCGGAACAGGAAATAAACCTAAAGGAGAGTGCGGCGAAAGGTAAGAGAAAAATTGCAAATGCGCGATTAAAAATGCAATGACGCTGCAGGCAATAAATGCGTTGCGCATTGCGCGTTGCACGAATGTGTGTGCATAACTGGATTAGGCGAGCTGGGTTGGTTGGTGACTTACCTTTGAGGCAGATTTTATTCCGTTTAAAATGCAATTTGGTGTCATTAGTGCGCGGCGGACCGCTCACAAGCATATTGACGACGAGCGGCACCTCCTTATTGCCATTCCCCGTGCATGGCAGATGCACCAGAAATGTCTCAATCTGCTGTGGCACATAGCCCTTGTCGGGTATGCTGAGCGTGGGCGCGGCCAAAGCGCTCTGCTCGTGCTCATAGTCGATGGTGATGGTGTAGGGCAGCTGAAGGCGCGGCGAGTGACGATACCAAATAACAGGCAGCATAATTTCGTTGGTGGTTGGTGAGTGGCATTGTTGTTGTTGTTGTTCGTCAGTTGCGTACGTGGGTGTGTTGTTGGCGAGAAGGTTAATGGAGTGCAAATTAGATTTTGAGTGCTACGCAATTGGTATAGGTGGCGGTACTGCCACTCTGACTCTGTGGGGTCAAATGCAGGCATGCGTCGCTTAAGCACACAAACACACAAACACATGCCGGCAGATGAACACAGGGTTTGGTAGGAAAATATGCAATGTGGTGGGGGGTCAGCAAGGAATATGGCTCTTTTACTCACCGGATACGGGGTCAAACTCTGCCATGAAAACTCTAAATCATGTACATCTGCTGGCACCGGCACCGTGAAATGCATGGCGTATGTGTTGATGGCGCCCTCGTGCACATAGAACAAGTCCGCTTCCAAGCCTGCGTAGATTGTTGACGCAACGGTTAAAAGAAAGAAAAGTGGAGAAGAAAAAGCGAAAAACAGTTATATAAAATATGTTTGCTCGTATGTTGGGCATTAAAACGCAATTTAGTATTGTATCAATTTTCAAAGAAATGCCTGCTTTTTCTCCCTTTTTGATTATTTTTCCATTTTTTCCATTTTTTACAATTTTTTGCGATTTTTTCGCTTTTACCGCTGACATTTTGAACTTTTTGGCGTGCGGTAACCAACACTACCAAGGGACCGTTAGCAACCCTTAACACTGCCGACACTATGGTAGTAACTAATGTTCACAATTTCGCTCCTGCCGCCGGGCTTTGGTGGCTTTGATCTTATGCAGGTTACAGAGGGCGAAAATGCGTGTGCGTCTTCGATTCGGAAAAAATGTACAAAGCGCAATAAAATATTGAAAAAATAGTAAAATACTTTTTTTGTTCAAAGCTTTGCTGAATGCGACACCTTCATCATCGCGAATCAAATTTCATTGCTTTGTACTTGAAAATGAATTTCTGGCAACGGGACTGTATGAAAAGCATAACACGAAAATTGACTCGCTCGCTTAGCCTAAGCGACAGTATCGCTTTGTCGAGGGGTGAAAACACTTTGCAATTTATTATTAGTCTAGTAGTGGCTCTATTGGTGTATGGAATACATGTGAAAAAAAAAGAATGCGGCACTTTCACGCACCTTTTGGCGGCACATGGAGGGAGTTTTTTTTTTCCACATTTTTTACTCCCTGCTTGTCTAGCGCTTTACTGTTTGCGTTTATTTCTGCCTTTTCACTTTTTTATGCCAATTGTATGAATGACTCTATTCAAGCAGCGATTTCTTCTCAAAAGCCTCTCAATTACATGCTCACACATACACATACACCCACGCATATGCGCGTGTGCGGAAGGCGTGTATTCCCATTTCTAGTTATATAAATGCGATTTCACTTCAAAGTGAGGGGAAATGGATATAAATTGCCTTGCATGTGTAAAATATGAAAGGGATATGCCGCTGCCGCACACACACACGCATACACACAGAATCATACCTGCATGCATTTTTCTAGCTCAATGTAAAGCTTTTGATATTAAAAGTTGAGTTGTGTGAAAAGCCTGATTTCTTTGTGGGGGAGGAACTTTCACTTCGAGGTGATTGCGAACATTTAGTATTGTGGTCACTTATCAGTTCCTATTTTGAATAGCGCACATTTGACCACATTGGGACCCACAATTACTTTTAAAAGGTGTGTTTATTGTGCCTCTTATCGAGCGATTCATAGCCGTTCGATAAATATTTCAAAGGAAATGGTAATTTTTGTAATTGTAAAAAGAACTATTATCATATGGAAGTATAAGATTAGTGAGAAAGTTATATTTCTTCACAAAATCGTTTGTGCAATGATAAGGAAGCTCTTAGCATAGAAGAGATTAATTATAGACTGCTGGTAAAGTGATTATGTGGACATTAATATTCTCCAAATGCTCTAAGTACGAAATATTTCCGATATTACATCCGGTTTCTTCGAGGGATACATGTGTTGACCGGTTTCAAAAAATGATTTTTTATTGTCTTCTTAGATTCTATAATACCTTCAAATGATGTCCTAAATTTTCAAGTTGATCCGAGCACTAGTTTCGAGGTACAGTCTTGAGAACTTGTATGCTCTTAGCCTAGTTAGGTGTGCCGTCTTTAAACGCGTTTTTCACGAAGCTGTGTTTTTGAAGTCGGTTGGCAAGATTTCTCGAGAACTGCTCAAACAATCTTCATGAAATTTTACACAGATCTTTGAGATATAGTTCTTAAAGATTTGTATGAAGAATTTTTTTCGATCACAACTATTAAAAAAAAAAACAATCGCGAAATTTTAATTTATTTGTAAAAATGTCTAAAAAAAATCCAATTTTCATACAAACCGTATCTCGAATTGGCGTGAAACTCTCAAGCCCTGTGTTTCGCTCCGTTATCAGTTATGCGTTCCTAGCGATAACGGAACTCAAGGAGTCAGCTTAAATTCTTAGCGCAGGGAAGGTCTCTCACTTATGAAATCACGGAAAGGCTTTACGCGTTTGGTCAAGACTGAATTTTCTTTTGGATTTTGTGAAACAGAATGGGTATTTTCCTATAAGATACTTATATACTTTCAAGTTAGTAAATTACGACTACTAATAGAGAAAATACCTATGTAAGATAACAAACTTGGTAAAATCTTCGCTTATGGATTGCTTACCTATACAAGTTACTTGGACACTAGAGTTACAAGTATAAAGTACCTCTTATTAAAATGGTATATCCACTTTTGAATTTCAAAAAATTTTGAGAATATTCTACGAAAGCTTGAAGCTTATCCGAAAATAAGTTTCGGAGAAATATCTATTTGTAGAAATTTTACGCTTAGTGCAATCGGCTTCAAAAATGAAAATGTGATTTTTTTAGAAAAATAGTTCACAGAGTCGGGGAGGAATACTTCACTGGAGCAATCGTCTATCTTTATCAAAGAAGTTTGGCTACGAAACACTGCCAGCATCTTAAGAGCAGAAGTAATCTGAATTGAAATACTTAGCAATACTAGATTAATACCAGAGTAGCTAAGAATGTATGCTTTAAGCTCTCTGACAGGTCAACACCAATTATCCATAATTTGGATAACAAAAAAGTGATTGAGTTGCCCAGGTCAGGAGATTCTTTAGAGCCAAACGAAGCGGAATTAATACAATGCTGGAAACGATCCAAACAGACCTTTAGAATCAATAGCTCAGCTCATATGGAAATTTATAAGCAAATGCAAGATAACGAAGCAGATGTGGCCCAAGTATGACAGGACTAGAACCGAAAACTTATTAGCTAGGCTCAGAAATAGTATATGTAGACTTACAGCTATTATAATGGGGCCCTAGCCCTGAGCATTGGCCTGAAATAGGTCCTATAACAATATTTACCACAGCTGCAAGTTATAAGGGGACAAGGAAACTGTACCAGAAACTCGACACAGAGTACTTGAAACCCTTCAGGCACCAAACCTTGTATGGCTGGCATAGTTTCAGTAAGTTTCAATTAAGAGCATTTTTTCGACGCAAATCGCAACGATTTAATGAGATAACAAATAAGGTTTTACGATAGTACATCAAATTGTTGTAATTTGAGCAAAATTGAGCTGTGGCTGGCAGAACTACTGCCTACCTATGTTAGCTACCTGGACTTGAGAATATCACACCTCCTTCTTAGATATAAGTATTTATGATATGATGATTGAATGAATCAAAGTTTTCATAATAATATCGATTTATTTAGAAACTCAGAAGTGTGAACTTTTTCACAAAAAAAAAAATATTTTTGGGAACACGCCTCTCTGTCAAATATCAAAATTTTGACTAGTCCTTCTTCAAACAATGAGCCACACTTCGATACTTGAACATTAGAATGTCATCAGCAGTCAACTAATTTGGCGAACTAACCAAGACATATGTACATTAACAATGGCCCCAAAGCAGCGACTTTTGACGTAACAAACTTAATTTTGATTGAGACATTACGAATTGTAGCGTCTTATTCGAATTTAATACTCATTCAACGATTACAGCTAACTTAAATCCATTCGCATCACTTGAATAAAATTCAGCGTCTTCCCCCTATTTGCTTCGACCGCTATGTAGGGTTGCGTTTGGGTAGCTGTCATTTTATTAGCTATTTAAACTATGCTTAAAGTACACTTAACCGCCATAAAATTGGCCGCGGATACGAAGTGTTAAAAGTGACGGTCTGTCAGTGATTGTTGGCAACAGCTCATCCACAACCGCTCCGCTCTTCGCACTACCAAGTAGGAGTGCACTACGCACGCAGCCGAGCATGAAAGCATCAAAGCGTCAATCGAGCCGACAGAGAGTGAGAGAGAGGAGTTGTGTGAGTTAGGGAGCATAATGAATGCCATCGAATGCGTTGATGTCAAATGCTCGCAATATCTTCTAAATGAAAACTGCTTAGAAAACTCATTTTGCGTCTTTGTCAGATGCTGCTTACATTTAAGTGTCTTTTTGATGTGCGACACTCTGCTCTTGTTGCCGGGGTGCAGCGGCGGGTGAAATGGAAAGAAAATTGCGCGAGCGTGTGTGCTTGTACGCAGACATACAAATAACAAACAATCTTCAATTCCAATATTTACTCGTCCGACGCCCGTCCATCTGCTGCTTGGGTGACTTGCTTGACGGCGCTCTGTGTGCGCATCGTGGTTCGGTAGAGGCATCGCGTCTTTGTCGCTTTCTAGCGAATGAAAATGGTTGCGAGCGTTTGGGGAGCCGGTGCGTTGCCTTTGGAGTAGTGCACTTAAAAGTAAAAGACGTGAAATTAAATTTCTTTGCTGCATTATTCACTCATTGGGATCATTGCTAATCCATTCGCTATTCGCAATTGACAAAAGCGTCTTTCAAACGGCGACATAGACAAAGATAACGAGAAGACACAGAAGACGGCAACGACAACGACTACAAGACAGACAGGATATTCGGGTTTGGTGTACAACATAGCTCACACTAGCAGCAGTGGTGGAGTTCTTTTGGGATGGGGTAGTAAGTGGTGGGTTGCACGCTTAGACGTGGGACGACCAACTCGTTGGTGCCATTGTGCAGCCGAAAGACAGTCAACAAGGTTCTTTGACTTGTGCAGTTGACACTACATCTATTGCCACTCCATTCTGACTGCTTGACTGCGTAACTATGTTTCTGGAATGGAAAGTTTGGCAGGAATTCCACTTCTTAGATTTCGTAGACTCTAAGTCATGTGGGCGGACGCTGGTCTAAGACTGTTTAACGTACTACCACTTTGATATAATATGCTTGCAAATATATCGCATAATTTTGTTTATATTCTCAAGTTTCAACTATTGAAAGCAAAGCTAAGATATTGAGTGTCCACGAAAGCTTTATGTATATTAAAACAAGAAAGAAAAGTTAACTTCGGTAGTATAGATGCTTAAATATGCTTCATAAATAAAAAT